AATCTGCCGACATTGGTATGTTAGTGAGTGTTTGCGAGTGTGTGTGTGTGTGTGTGTGTGTGTGTGTGCGCCTTTATGCCAACTTCGACATGGCGCAGTACGAAAATTTGCGTTGTATGTAAAAATTTTATCGCGTTTTCTCGACGCTTGTCGGAAAATATTCGACATATCCTCTACAAGCGAGAGCGTCAGGCAAGTAGCAACAACTACCCGGCAGTGCGACGCCTTCATGCCAACACTGGTTACCAGGCAGCTAGCCAGCCACCCACCCACGCCCCTCTTGACCCGTAATTGGGGCAACTGTAATTGTTTGGCTGTTGAATTTTTTCGCACACACACACATACACCATCACAAAGGAGCACACATGTGTGTGTGTGTGTCTGTGTGTGTTTGTGTGTGGCAAATGGCTGCAAAATAATTTCACGTTTGTATGTTGCAGTTACAGTTCAGTTGCTTCTTGCTGTACATAGTTGTTGTATTTGTTGCTGCCGCCGCTAGTGTTGCTGGTGATGATGGTGGCTGTTGAAATTGCCACGCTTTTGTTTAACATCGCGCAGAGTTTAAAAACATTTGTGCTTGCATGTTGATTTTTAGTTGGAAAACAAATAGTAGTTGCGTTGCGTCTGACCTCCATTTCTTCTGGAAACTGCTCACAGTGCCTCTCCAGCAACGCCCCAAGCCGAGCACAGCTCACTGCTGCACTATGGACTGTTTTCCTTTGTGTCTATTCTCATTAAATTGCAAACATCTTACGCCAATAGGCATATGATGCATCTGGGAATTTAATCAAATAACTTCGTTTGAATTTCAAAGTTAAATTAGTGCTGCTTCTGCGAAGTGTTGTCCTTTTAGCTTTGAAAAGTGTGAGGACTTTTTGTGGAGTCTTAAACGCTATTTCTAGTAGAAGTGTGTCGCGTCAACTTTACAATAATACTTTATATAGATAATGATTAATACTAAACATAATAACCATCACTTCTCGAAGGATTAAAACAAAGATACACATATTTGTGTACGAGTATACGCAAAATAAACGTTGAACGCATATCCTGAGCCCTTCTGTTGGTTTGATTGGGTTTCAATTATTTTCTGGAAAATATTTATAGTGCTTATCTAGCAACGCCCAAAACTAAGCCTACCCACTGCACTATGGAGTGTTTTTCTTTGTTTATTCTTTAAATATCAAACGTCTTAATTAGGAATATGTTTTATTAAGAAAATTGTTCAAATAACTTAGATTTATTTAGAAATTTAAAAGTTATTACAAAGTTCCAAAGAATAATTAACCATTGCGTGATTAAAGAGCTGCTTGAAGAATGTCTCTTATACTAGTACGGTTGGCCATAGCTGGCCAACTGGCAAATAAAATTCCCCAACCTGTCGGAGGCATTAATAGACGTTATTGTACAGCTTTTTCTTAGGCTTAACTTAAGATAATATAATAATAATGTTATATTAAGTTGTATCATCATTTTCATTTTTTTATTTTAATATATACAAAATGTTAAATTATATTTTAATAATTATAATCGATAGAACCATTGTTGATGTACTAAATAAATAAATAAATAAATGAAAAGAGTTCTGGCACGATTAAAGCAAAAACTCACACATACAGATGTACAAATAAGAGAGGGTGTTGGAGAACTTAATAGCCTGTTTAAAAGATCTAAGTGCAAAAAAAAGTTATATTTAATGCAATAAATATGATTTTTGGCACGAAATTTCGTTTTCGCCCCATTGTGCGCTGACATCGAAGTTGGTCAAATTTATTGGCAAATCCAACCCACAACGCTGATTGCAGCTGATTGTTGTTTGAACAATTTCCATTGTGCCTTCTCTTCCTTTCCCTTGGTCGCTCCCCCCTCCGCCTTCCCACACACAATATGCACATTAATTTCTTTATTACTTGGCCGCACATTCCGCACCTGTCGTTGTTTTAATAACTCAATTTTATGGCCAGTGGTTAGTGGTGAGTGGCTGCAACCTGTTCGATGTTCACACAAAAATATATAGATGAACGAGTGTATTTGTGTGTGTGTGTATGCGTGTGTGCTATTTATTTATGCGGCTCGTCTTTGTGGCAAGTATAGTATCTATGTGTCCTTTTACCGATTTTTGTTATGATAAATGCGTCTAGAATGCCGTGCGAAGCCGCAGCAAGCGGTCGGTCGGACGGATGGATGGACGGACGGACGGACGGTTGGTCGACCTCTTCGAGTTTCTCTATTCATTGCCAAATATTTCATAATTCATTCGATGCACAAGTGCCAGGAAAAGCTGCTCTGCTTGGCCACAAACATAAAAACGTCCATAAATGCTCACAAAAAGTTTTATTACCATTTCACAAGTTGTCTGTCGTTCGATGCGTCCGTTTCATTGCCTGCTGTTGTTGTTGTTGTTGTCTTTGTCTGCTATCTTCCTGGCAGCCGTCCTGTTGCTCTTCCCCATTTCCCCCCGTCTGCTGCTCTCTCCTTAGTGCCAGTGTCAGTGTCGGTCTCTTTCTCTCCTCTCCTCATTTGCTTATTAACGTTTCTCTGGTGCGTCATAAATCTAAAAGATAGATTTATACTGCACGTGTGTTCGCTAGCATGTACGAGTATCTCCGAGTACGTATCTCTGCTCATACGAGTATGTGCTGAAGTTCTTTGTAGCTTTGTGCCTAATGCGAATGTGTGTTTGTTGTACTTGTCGGTTTTTACATTCAATTTCCTGTACGACTTCGACGACATTACCTTCGGTGCCTGGCACTTAAAGTAGGCCCAAGATTTTTCGGCTTGTGTGCCTGAATGAAATACGATGGCATTTAACATCTAGCACCAATGTCGAGGAAGTCTAGATTTTAATAGGCAGATACAAGTGTTTGCCATTTTCGGCGATGCATTTGCACGCCCTTTCAGAAAGCTTTAAAATTTGAGTTATGTCTGGACACAAAACGCTGGGATAAATATATATAAATAGTACCTTAATGAGTTATTATGCCCCATAGCTTGTGAGTTTCCGTATAAATATTGATTAATGCCGTTGGATTTGGCATCCATTTTACATTTCACATCTGTTTACATGCCGTATGCGTAATATTTCACATTTTTAATTCACAAATTTTTAATTGCTGTCATGGTTTTTATATCAAACTCCATTCGATTTTCTGTTGCAAATTTTATTAAAATTGCAATTCATACACAGATAATTCAACCAATCTGGGTCATACTATATATGTGCGATTATTATGAATGTGCGTGACCTGCGAACCTTAAATAGTATGCGAAGCGTCGAATTCTTTATATAGTTTTAATTACTTTATATAGTTTTAATTATTAAATGACGATAGTTTGATTGCAATTCAAAGTTTAAAGTGAACGACATTTCAAGAGGAGACCTTGACAGCCGCGTTTAATTTCAGACTCTTCAGTTCTTCGGCTTGCCCTTTTCATCTTTCATCTTTCATCTTCCCGACATCTCCCTTGTTCGGCTTCACCTATCACTTTTCTTTGGGTCTTGAGTTGTCGAATTTTGTTTCACTTCAACTAATATATTCCATATTCTTTATATCGAAAATAAAGCAAATTTATTCAACGTTTTAATACACAGGCAAAGTTGTCGTACTTTCTAAACAATCTGTAATTTAGCTGTTAAATAATTATCCCTGACTTTTGCCATAAATCACTCTTCTTCTTTTGCGAATTCAGAACCCTTCTTCATCTTTTGTGATTTTGCGGTGAGTGGAATATATTCTTAGCTATACATTTCTCACTGAAAGTCTTCCGACTTTGTAATGGATGAGCTAGAGAAAACGTGCGACGCTTGTTACTTCCTACACTTGAGAGCAGTATTCATAAATCTTCACCGATAATGTAAAGGAATTGGTATGTCATAAACGCTTCAGAAATTATGAGATATTCAGAGATCCAGTAAGAACGCAGAAGCTCTTCGTTTACTTACAAACTATACAAAAAATAAAAAAATAAAAATAAAATAAGATAAAACAAGAGAGAACGCTACAGTCGACCAAGCCCGACAGTGTAATACCCTGTACCCAGGTAAACTTCCGTCACTGAGTTATATGCGCCCATAGCAGCAGCAAAAAGAGGAAGAAGAAGAGCGAACTTGTTGCTGCAGTTTGGGGGGGTTGTGCTGGCGAGAATTTGTTTCGCTAATAACTTTTCTTAGAATTGACCGAATTGAATAAAATTTTAAACAACAGTAGATATTTATTTATAAATTATGTGTGCAAAGTTTGTTTTAGGTAGCATTTGAAATGTGGACGCTATTGACGAAATTCTGTAGCGGGGGAAGGGGGGGAAAATTAAAAAAAATAAAATAAACTCGTCCTTACTCGGATCTAGGAGAATATGGATGCCAACTTTGGTTATTCTAGCTTTTATAGTTTCTGAGATCCTCGCGTTCATCCAGACGGACAGACGGACGGACAGACGGACGGACATGTCTAGATCGATTTCTCTCGTCATGCTGATTCAGAATATATATACTTTATGGGGTCGGAGATGCTTCCTTCTGTATGTTACATACTTTGCACAAACCTAATATACCCTTTTTACCCTACGGGTACAGGGTATAAAAACTGTTGACATCCCACAACCACCACCTGGATTTAAGAACCACTACAATTAAATCGATCAATCGAATCCGATTTAGTATAAAGCTAATTTTGAAGATAATCCTTCCTTCCACTCAAAAGCTTTGTGGGATTACTTAAGCAGACCTGGCGCTTGGTGACAACAAATATGATAATATACTATAATAAATAATATTTATAATATATTCTCAGAAATACTCTGTTTTTATCACTTAGTTCTCAAAACCATATGTTCGAAAAAAAAATACTGAACTCCCTTACTGCTGTCTTCCATCGTTGAATTTTGATTTTTATCATTTATTCTCGAGAAATTTAAAACTTTAAGTAAACAAATCGAAAGTTTAATTGAATTAATATTTTATTTATTTTGTAACTATGGATATATTTCGATATCGTTTCAAACTATGTAAACCTTTCGGTGATATTCATTTGATTCACAATCGCCAACACAGAAAAGGCGAATTTAGCAACCTAAGTATAAATAATAGAGGTTACATATTTTTCGCTAATTTTCTTGTTTATCATACCGTTATATTGGAGCTCACGCAAATTTGCATAAATCCGCCGGCTTTGAAAACGATCGGTTGCTGTACATTGTGTAAAAAGTAGAGTAATGTAGTCCTATACCTTCGATCAGCGTCGATCCAGTTGGATTGAAATAAGGTATTGGTGAGTGTCTCGCAATCGTCCATTATCAGATTGCAAATGTAGCAGAAGGGGAAAGTCTCCAGGCATATGGCAACGATGAAGACAGCTGTTGTGATGCCAATAAACAAATCGGCAAAAAAGAACAAGTTGATAAGACACAAGCCGAGAATCACGCCAATTATTAGAAACTGCGTGAAAATTGTCTGAGAAATGACGGGCCGAATGATGCTGCTGTACCTTTAGAATATCGTTTAAAGCATAAATAATTTATTATCAGAATCTTTACTACTTACTCTATAATTAGCTTATGATCACTAATGCAATCAATTAGATCCTCGTAATGCTTCTCGTTGCTGTCATTTTGTTCGGTGCGAAGTTTTTCGACGCGCTGCTTCAGAAGATTGATGTGGGTGCGTAATAGAATGCCGTACATTAGCGGATAAGTGTCGGTGATTAGGTTTTGGGTTCCGGTAAAAAGCATGATTACATATTCCAGCCAGGAAGCGGCATAGAGTTCTAGTTTGCTGCGACGCCACTTTATGAGGGGATTGTAAATATTCCAGGGCGGTACGTTGTTCAGCAGACCGCTGGCAAAATTCGATGTTATGAAGAAATAGTAGACGGTCTGATAGGCTAGGAATATGCGACTACAGCGAGCAACCACTTGATGTATTTGTAGCCGTTCTGCATCGGTCACGACGCGCTTATCCATGCGGTCCAGGAGCTCATTGGCCCTTCGAAAACGCCAGATATTCAAGAAGGTTAGGGATGCTTTAATCGCGCAACCGGCGGCATTGATGCCCGCTTGCAAGGAGGTGAGAAACAGGACGGGCGTGAAGCTTTTAATTTCAAGAAAGTAGTTGATGAAGAAGCCACCAGGCATATAAATAATGCAGCAGAATGTCGTTGTCACAGTCCAGATCATGTAGATCCATCGCGTCCAGTTCGAAGGCGGTGTCCAACCCACAGAATTCATGACGCGTTGCAAGTAAATGCAGGCATCGCGAGACCGAACGCGTTTGCCCAGCGGCGCCACCTTAGTGAGTTCAAAGGACATTTCTCTAACTTGGCTTCAGTTTCGTCCTCGAATAGGTGACTAAAAATGTTTCGTTCGCTTTCATACTTTATATAAGGACACGGCAGTGGAATAAACGTCTTAAAAGCGCATTTCTTTTTCTTCACAAAAACTTTTGTGGCTCGACTTTTAAACTTTTTTCTGCTTCGTTTGAAACAGATGTGCTGAGTTCAATATAAATTTTCAACTAAAATGTTATATTTGTGTCTTTTCATTACTCTACTTGATGATGCATTAAGTTATACTCGTAGTAAACTTGATGAGATCCTTTTAAATATTAATACACTTTCAACAAAACTTAGGTAATACTTTTAAACTGTTACGTTGAGAATTGTGTCTCGGGTATGGGAATAACTTGAAAACTTTCTGCTTTGCTGCTATGCTCTTCTTTTTCATTAACGATGCAGCACATTTTTATACTTTTCTAAATTTTCTTTACCAATCCTTCTCAAGCCTTTAAACCTTTTCCAACTAATTTGGAACTATGGCTTATCATTTGGCCAACTCATTAGGTCATTTCGCGATTTGTGAATAATGTTGGCAGATTTTATCTGCAAAATATTTCAAACGCATTAGAGTTAAAGTGGTTTTATTTTAAAAAGTAACAGAACCACACCAGAGACATTGTTCTGAGTTATTCTTTGCGATCATAAAATACTTTTATATAGTTTTATAAATTTATTTTCTATCTTGAAGACAAATTTTAAATAATGCTAGTTCAATTATCTATAATATTTAAATTAAATTTTCTTTATAATTAAATTGCTTCTATTTTATTTTATAATAGTGCTAAAATTTGTCTAGAAAACAAAATCTGTTTAAACATTCTTTTATGTTTGACCTCGATTAGTGCTTTTTGGAGTTGTCTTATCATAATGCTTTGTGTACAGAATTCCTGGGCCTTGTTCTCATACGTCCACATGGCGTATGAGTAATGTTTCTTCACTCTCTGTATGTTATTGTTAAAAACTGTTGGATAATTAATGTATTGAACGTTGCCTTTTGACTAATTGGACGTAGGCGTGACAATTACTTAGAAATGTATGCATTTTTCAATGCCATTACTCAGCTGTTGTTCCTGCGGCGATGATCGTCAATCGTCGACCGTTGACCGGCGATCAACGTCGTGCGCCCAAGTGTTGAACGATAATTTTTGGACTAAATGCTACCAAATTAAGTTTGAAATTATCTTGTGAAATAAATCACAGGCTGCACATGCGGTTGCGCTGAAACAACGACCGTTTATTGGCCTTTATGAGCTCAAATTATTTATTATTTGCGGTTCAATTTGCTTCCGAACTACGACCGTTTCTTGTTGCGGCCTGCTCGAGGGTGTTCCGATTTAAAATCGCTGCATTTTTTTGTTTTAAAAATACACGATCCGCTGTAATATGTTGACCATTTGTGGCTGAAACATATGGGTTGGCGACCAGGTGGTAATTGGTCTTAAAATCGTGTCTAATTACTTTTGGTTGCCTTCAAGCTATTTGGCTCTATTGGCTGTATTTCTGCGATTACTTACAGTGCTAGTGTAAGGTAGTGTTGATTTATGAAATGTTTGTCAACAAATAAGACAAAAGGGTGAAGGATCTAAAAATGTAACAAATCTATAATTAGATTTCAAAAAGTTGAGAGTTTTATATGATAAGAGAATGATTAAATTTTTTGAAATGAGAAAAATATAAATAAAAGAAAAAATAAATATAAAAACAAATTTAAAAATGTTATTCTTCAAAAAAAAAGTACACTTTTAAATTAAAAAAAGATACAGAATATTGAAGAACTCCACATCCTATTGTTTGTCAACAAATAAGACAAAAGGGTGAAGGATCTAAAAATGTAACAAATCTATAATTAGATTTCAAAAAGTTGAGAGTTTTATATGATAAGAGAACGATTCAATTTTTTAGAAATGAGTAAAATATAAATAAAAGAAAAAATAAATATAAAAACAAATTTAAAAATGTTATTCTTCAAAAAAAAAGTACACTTTTAAATTAAAAAAAGATACAGAATATTGAAGAACTCCACATCCTATTGTTTGTCAACAAATAAGACAAAAAGGTGAAGGATCTAAAAATGTAACAAATCTATAATTAGATTTCAAAAAGTTGAGAGTTTTATATGATAAGAGAATTCAATTTTTTAGAAATGAGAAAAATATAAATAAAAGAAAAAATAAATATAAAAACAAATTTAAAAATGTTATTCTTCAAAAAAAAAGTGCATTAAAAATTAAAAAAAGATACAGAATATTGAAGAACTCCACATCCTATTGGGAAATGTTTTTTTAATGAAGTTACGGATTTGTTTTCACAACAATTGTAAACTTTTTGGTGAATTTAAAGTTTTGTTGATTAAACACATAAAATAAATATTTAAATAAAACAATTATTTCACAAACACCATTTCGAAGTTTTAATAATTTTTCCCTCCCTTGCCAGCACGCCCTCATTGTTTTGGCGTCCCGGTAGCGCGATATCTCGGTATGAGATGTACGGCGTTCAGAGATAATTGTATATACTTGTATAATTGTATATAGAACAGAAAAAATAATGTTTATTATTTTATTCTACAAATAAGCAATTAATTACAAAAAAAAAAAAGGATTTATTTTAATGCCTGTTTTGACATAAGTGTCTTACAATTCTTCCTGTTTGAAGTTCTTGTAAATACGAATTTATATGGAATACATATTTGGGTTTGTTTTTGCTTTTTTTTTAAACTTGTAAGTTTAATTTAAAGAAATTCATAATTGAGTGTCCCATTTAGTATGTTTACTTCTTGCAGCCAGTGTAGGATCGAGTAAATTTGTACAATGCTGCAACTGCTGCGATCAGAGAAAAAATTCAATAAACTCAACTTTTTGACTTGCTTCCGGGCTTTTTGGTTTTCTTATGATTTTATTTTGGATTTTGTGCAGTTTTTGCCACCAACTGTGCTGTGGTTGGCATTTTTATTGTTTGCCAACTTGAAGTTGCTATTTCTCTTGTTCTTATTATTGTGACTAGTTGCTGAGGGGCTTGTTGTTGTTATTGTTGTTGGTTAGCTCTTGATAGCCTTGTGATTGCGATTTGAGAGATTTGCGCCGCTTTGTCGGTCATGATAAATACTCGTACTCACAATTTTCAGGCTTTGTTTTTTGTTTTGTTGTGTACTTGTACTTTTATTTTTTTAATACGAGTGTTCGCCAGCCAGCCTGTTGGCCGCAGGACAAAATGCCTGGCGCGGTCGCCTTGTAGGTCGCCAGAAAATCGTTGCATTTGTTGTTGAGTCAACAATTTAAGATACAATTTAGTGGTTGTTGCTGTTGTTGTTCATTGGCACCCGCCCAAGTGGGGACTGTTGTTGTTTTGCTGCTTCGCATCCGTAAATCGTTTGTAGCAACAACTATTTTACGTTAGAAGTAAATGTTTGCGACGGCAAAGTCCCAGCAAAGTGGTTGCACAATTTTTGTTTGTCCAAAAGGGCTTTAACCGCTGTTCCTCCTGACAGCATTTGGACCACACCTTTGGAGCAACAAACGCGCGCATTGTCCGCCGGCTCTGTTGTTGACTCTTTCGATGTGTCGCTGACGTCTGTGGAAGAGAAAAAGGCGAAAGCAAAACGGTGGCAGGCGACAATTCATCAAACAGCACGAGGGACACGAGCGACGGGGGTCGTCGACGATGGGCGGCAGCAACGCTGTTGACACTGACATGCAGGTTGCGGCAACGCTGGCTGAGTGATGACCACGTCGAGACCAAGACGGCGACGGCTGCGACGAAAATGAAAGCCTAGCCACATTCCGGCCCAACGAGCTTTATGCCAACTGCAGAAGGCAAACGTTCCAGTCTCGTTTCGAGTCCCATTCCCAGTTGCAGACGCAGTCGCAAGCTGGCAGGCATTCAGCTGTTGTATCTATTGGCCAGACAAAGTAGCTCTAGCTGACTGGCTTGATCAAAACTTCCTGGAAATTAATTAAACTCTAACTGTGCCGCAGCTAAGAATCAAGCACACTGCATAACGTATGTATGTTCACCTAAACGGAAATTATGTTCAATAGATGTACTCCAGAGACTTAAATATGTAATGCCATTACGGCATGGTAGAAAATTCCTTAACATCCTTTTCATGCATTTAACGACAAAGTGGAAAGACGATTTGTTTGCAGGGACTAGATCAGAATTTTGTAAACACATACACCTAATTCTGTTTTTACACGGTAGATTGGTTCCAGAAAAAGTCGGGTAAAAGAAGACATTATTTATATGTTATTTTGAATCGTGCTAAATGGCACAAAGTCGTGCAACAATATATAAGATTTTTAATTTTCAAACCGTGTTAGATCAAAACCGTGTAAGCACAGAATATGTCTAGCATATCTAGTATATATAATACCCTGGTTTTGCAAACATTTACCACATTTAATGGAAGGTCATTCCAACTGATAGGGTTCTCTTTTAAATATTTATGTACCCTTTACGCAAAAAGAATAAGGATAGAAGGGCATTTTTCGTTTGTAGGAATGAGCAACTAGAAAGTTAAATTTTATGTGACATTCTTCTAAACTAGTATATACAAATTATATAAATTAATTTAAATTAAATTAGTAAAGAGCTAAATATTCAAGATTTCAGAGTTGTATTTTGAATAGATTATTTTCTATATTAATCCACCAACTTTATGTGTTTTGTGCAAAGTATTTGATTGTGGTACCGTAGCTTTACTTTGTTCATCCTCGACTTTGTATTACCAAGACTTCAAAAAACAAAGCATACCAAATTTAAGCACCACAAACTTACTTTACCCAATTTGCGGGTCGAATTGTTGCAAGATAAATACTTGCATTTTACATCTCTATCTATTTAATTCCTCTGATCGATGATGAATCAGTTCCACAGGCAGTAAATGGTAAAATGGTAAAACATATTATTATAATTATGTGGTAAATAACATTTTAAAAGAATTATTAAAAATTAAAAAGGAAAGGATCAAAATCTTTATAAATGGGGTATGAACCTAGTAGCTTTATTAGCTTACATTTTTCAACTTCTGAGTATGATGCACATAGTTTTTTGAATATTTTCAATTTAATTAAATATAAAATAGTTCACACATCAGCTGCCGGCTTAATTGGTTTTGTGAGACCAGACTTAAGAGTAAATATAAATGAAAAATAATTAATAATTAATAAATAAATTTAAAGGAAAATATAATTTTCAAGAACTTGTGCCAGTGACAAGACCTCAATCGAGCAAGAAAATGTTGGGCAAAATATAAATGAAATATATAAATTAAATGTTTATAAATATATATTAAATATGTATAAAAGCATTTATTGAACTTTATTTTAATTAAATTTGTCAAAATACATAACTGGGCTAGTGTTGTCTTGAAGGCAGCGCCTAACGAAGTAAACAGCGCGACGCGCTCAGCGGCTGCTCAATAATTATCGACGCTTATCAAAGACACCGTTACAGATGCGCGCACACATGAGCCCACCAAGCGGCAATTGCAGCAGAAGCAGCAGCAACAACAACAACGGCAGCACTAACAACAAGTTAAGCCAAGGAGTCGACTTCATCTAGGAGAGTATGTATTATATGCCCGGACATGTGGCCGCGTCTAGCTGGAATGTGCGCTGCCGCTTCTTCCTTTGTTCATTTCGGCCGACGCAATTAATATTCAACGCCGTTGGCTGATCATAATTTACGTGCTGAGTTTACGATGCGACTCCAACTGCCGCTGCCGCAGTCGCCGTCGCTGCCGCAAATGCAATTGCAGCGCCGGCCAGCTGGCTGGCTGGTTGGTGGGGGTTGGGGGCTTATGTGTACGTATAGTTGTAGATGAGCGCAAAGTTGTTGCTGCTGCCCGCTTGGGGGCGTAACCGCCGACCGCTACAAGGGGGCGTTTTTACATGCGACGCGACGCGATGCGATGCGATGCGCTGCGATGGCAACAATAGAGAACTATATAGCCGTACATATATCTGGCAGTGCCCGCAGAGAAGAGTGGCCACCAACACTGATGGACGCATCGGAGCCCACTTGGCTGACAAAAGGGCATTATGTTTGCTTTGGACCAGTGTGTACATACACTGCCAATTGTTGGCCAAACACATGTCCCAACTCCAATTCCAGCTTCAGCTTCAGCTCCGAGGTCCATGTCCATGTTCATGCACATGCGTAGCCAGCCACTGAGCCACACAGCTGGCCGGAGGCTACTTTGCCATGCTGTGGAATTAATTTTTTTGTGCTGTTTACACATTTTTCAAATTTGCTTAAGCGAACCGGAGGCTGTGCAGTCTCGATTTTGTCGATGGCCCGTGGCCCAGACCACGCATTTGGCCTATGAGTCAATAAAAAAAACAGGCCGAAAGAGATACATATTTGAACAAGCCATTTGCAATTGCAAGCCATTTTCTGTTGATTGCTAAGTCTTTGTTATACATACGTACAAACGTAGTCATGTTAGCCTTTTTGATGGCCCCCTTTAGTCAGCTCTCTCAAAGCTCTCAAAAAATAAGGAAGTTAAATTAGAGTCATAACGCATCTGCATTGCAGTTTCCTAATGGTACGATTAAGCAATCGTTATAGTTTCACCAAATTCCCTATTTAAATAACTCCATAACTAACATAAGGAAATAGTTATCGCTCTGTACTGTACTTTCAATTGTTCTATATGTACTGTAGGGCCGCAAGATTCTTCAAATACATGTGTACAATTGATTCTCTACAGTCGAAATTCTCTCTACAGTCAAAAGTCCCTCTAGGGTCAACTGATGCTCTACAGACGAAATACTCGTTCTCTGTTCTGACATCAGTGATGCAATATTCTATATAACGTTTCTTTTGATAATATTTTCCGGAATTAAAGAATTTTTCGGCCAGGTCAAGAATCATAATTAAGAACAAGTAGCATTGCGGAAGGAGATATATCTTCACCAATAAAATTTGAAATCAAATGATGCCAGAAAATATCCCTTTAAGCTGAAAACATATCGATGGATAAAAGTGATATGAAGTTGTGCATTTTGAGAATTTTATATAAAAGCATATGTGTTTATATTGAAATATTTTGCAGAATAATGTGAATCCGAGAGAAACTGGAAGTTATAGATAAACAGATTGCTTCTGATTTAGAATTTTTTTAGACTTCTCTGGTAAACTTTTTCCAATACCCCTCAACTTTTTTTTGGAATCATAACCTTTGGTATTAAATTATTTTAGAAGTTCCAGGTCGGTTTACAATAATCGCAAAATTCGGTTTCTCAGAAAAGTATATCTTGACAAGGATATCGAGTTAAGTTTAATTTAAGGAACTCCCTAAATTTGCGTATTATTCTTTATTTTGGTTTTTTCTTGTTTCTATTTGTTGTGTCTATTTCGTTAGAAGACCCGAAAATCTCATTTCAAATTCCATTTTGTGACCCTTCACCAGTGGTCAAATAATTATAAATATTTTAGCTTAGAAGTAAGTTTTGATCATCGATTGATAATAATATTAATTAGGTCGCCCTCGAGTTTAAAAAAGAGACAGAAAAGTAACGCTTTCCACAAAGCGTGTTTCGGTTTATTTTGAAGCAATACTATCCACTCGGAATTAAAGGTAGGGGTTTGATAGCCAGCGATAGCCAGTAAGGTTAGACGCACTTTACTCACTTTATGAATTTGTATACTCAGGCAATTTATTCTCCAATAACATTTTACTTATGGTTTTTATATTTCTGTGTATATTTAAGTTATGAAAAATAATTTCCTTTCTATGTAAATCTGTCTGCAATATTCATTTGCTTGACAATTGCGACGACGGAAAAGGCGAATTTAGCAACCTTTGTACGTAAAAGAAAATATGTATCATCATTTGAAAAGCAATGTTTTTTTAATTTATATTTACCGTTATATTGGAGCTCACGCAAATTTGCATAAATCCGCCGGCTTTGAAAACGATGGGTTGCTGTACATTGTGTAGAAAGTAGAGTAATGTAGTCCTATACCTCCGATCAGCGTCGATCCAGTTGGATTGAAATAAGGTATTGGTGAGTGTCTCGCAATCGTCCATTATCAGATTGCAAATGTAGCAGAAGGGGAAAGTCTGAATCAGTAGGGCTGAGATGTATATAATCGTGGTAGCACCATTTAATAAATCCGCAAAAAAGAATAAATTGATGAGGGATACGCCAAGTACTGCACCAATTATTAAAAATTGGACGAAAATTGTTTGCGAAATGACGGGTTGAATGATTTTAAAGTACCTTAATAGAATCATTTTAAGTAATGACGATTTCGAAAAATTGTGCACTCACTTAATAACCAGTTTATGATCCGAAATACAATCAATTAGGTCCTGGTAGTCCTCCCTGGTGTTGTGGTCTGGTTTGGCGCGAAGTCTCCCAACACGTTGCCTCAGCAAGTTGATATGGGTTCGCAAGGGGATGCTGTACATTATTGGATATGTATCGATGATAAGGTTTTGGGTTGTGGAAAAAAATATTATTGTGACTTCTATAATTGAAACCATATAGAGTTTTGTTTTGCTGTCACGCCAGTTTATGAGCGGATTATAGATATTCCAGGGAGGCTCATTTTTTACGAGACCAGCGGCAAAGCTTGACAATACAAAGATGTGGTAAATGATTTGAAATACCAGAAAGATGCGACTGCAGCGCGCGACAAGTTGATGAATCTGTAGACGTTCCTCGTCGGTCTCACAACGCTTGTCCATACGATCCAGTTGCTCATTGGCCTTTGGGAAACGCCAAATGTTAATAAACATGATGGATGCCTTGGCTGAACAGCCAACCGCACTGATCCCCGTTTGCAAGGAGGTTAGGAATAGGGAGGGTGTAAAGCTTTTCAGTTGGATAATGTAATTTATGAAAAAAGCGGATGGCAAATAAATAATGCAGAATATTGTCGTTGTCGCCGTCCACAGCATGCAGATCCAACGGGTCCAATTCGAGGGCAATATCCATCCCTCAGACTTCATCGCTCGCTGCAGGTAGGTGCAGGCATCACGGGAGCGGACGCGTTTGGTCAGCGGCGCTATCTTAGTGAGTTCGAAAATCATTTTTGGCGATTAACTTAGTCTCTCAACACATAGAAGTTGGCAACTGAAGACGCTTTGTCACCATTCTGTCTTTATATACTCGCAGGTTCTTTAGTCAAGTGTCTTTGGAGTATATTTTACAAAAGCGTCTACTATTATTCAAACAATTATTTTGTCAAGCATAGTTAATTTCATATATTAACAAATAATAGTGTATTTTATCATTCGGAAAAACGACGAAAGTTTTTGGAACAGATTTTATTTATTAATGGTTCTTGTTACTAACTAAAAGTTAGTTGTTAAATGTTTCTTTCGACAACTTTGTTGAGCTCATAAAAAATTTAATAACTTTAAAATAACTATTTTCATGCTTACACCGTGAAAATCACAAGTCTTGGCTTTTCCTTAAACTTAAAGCGTGAAATTTTATATTACTGAATTGTTAACTTATTTTTTATATCCAGCCTAACATTTTTGCAATCTCAGCTTAACCTAACCTAACTTTTCCTACCACCAAATTTTCCCTAACCTTATGTAGATTTTCTTAGTCTACCTTACCTTACCTTACCTTACCATACCCTTTGTACTAAATTACCTAATTAAATTATATTTGATGCATTTTGGGTCTATAATGAAATTTTCTTATGGATATTTTGATATATTTCTGTTTGGAACAGTCCCTATAATTTTATTAAATCATTCTATAAATTTAATAGGACACCATTGATTTTAAAAAGCGTCAGAAAAACTTAAAACAAAAAACGTCTACCAAAAAAAATTCAGGTAAAACTTCGTTGTGACAAAAAAAAATGAACTAATCTTTATAAAGTCATAAAACGACAAACCACTCTTGGTGGTGTTATCTTATAGTGTCAGCATCATTGAAGGAAAACTATCCATTCTGAAAAATGCAAGAAAAATAAAGGCAATATTTTCAAAACGAAACAAAATAAAATATACGAACATTTCTGAAATAACTTTAAATAAAGACAGTGTTTTATAAATATCTCTTAATAATCGTTGCAAAGTAAATGTAAATTATATTTGGAGGTATGTTTGTTTAGCGTGTGCTTTAATTATTATTATTTATGTTCATTTTTTAAATACCACCAAGGAGTTTTGATAGTACGCTAAGAAACAAATATAATAATGGGCGCGTTCAGCAGATCGTAGCGATTTGTGATTGATCATTACAGATTTTCGCAGTGATTTGTGATTCTGATTAGTAAAAATGTCAATCGAAATCACAAAACACAAATCGGAAAGATATTATGATTACTTGATTTAGATTTTTCGATTTTGACACTACATAGTCAAAATTTTGTCGAGAGCTTTGCGGAAATATATAAAATGGCAAAAAGGAACCGAAGCAGGCTTTGACTTTTTGACCAAATCGGGAGAGGGAAATCAACAATCGATAAATTAAAAAGCACAAATCGCACAAATCACATTGCTATCGATAATTCAACACTCTTACTGTAAAACTTCCGATAACCGACTCCACTAACTTTATATTCGTATATAAAATGAGTTTATGATTGCACGCATAATCTGATCGTATAGACGATTTCTCCTCAAACCCACTTGGCTTAGAAATGTATGTAGTGCCGTTACCTTTGCCGTTATTTTCTGTCCGCTATGAGTTGGATTTGCAAGAGTGGCGATTAAGTTCCACACAAGCTTAATACAACCGCCAACGAAGCGAATTGCAGAGCCAGGTCGAGTAAAAGTCTGACTATTAAATAAATTTACCAATACACGTACTAACACATAAGTACTATATGTGTAGGTATAGTATAACTATGCCGGTATGACATATCCAAGCAATCAATCAACGCAGACAGGCACTTTCAACTGTGCAACAGCCGAGTCGGCGTGCTAGATCGTTTGATGCACGGACGGACGGACAGACACCCAATCGCTCCAGAAACTGGCAAGCCGCCTAGCTGCTGTCTAGCAGGGAGGGCGCTACGAGTGTGCCACCCAAACAGTCGCGACGGCGCGTTCTTGTGCCCTATTTATGTGCACAGGAATAAGGTTAAGAGTGACACCCAAGAGACCTACATATGCAAAATCTCATTTGCATTTGCGCCTAACGACTCAAATACATGCCATTCACTTGGCTGCGGTCGCGTTTGCGGTCCCAAAAAAAAAAAAACGAAAAAAAAAACAAGTAAAAAAGCTAAAGTCGGGTGTCCAGACTTTGAAATACTCTGTACATATGTTTGGAATAATTATAGAAATTAAAAAATTAAGAATATGTACAAACAATTTTGATCGATTTTACCTCTCTCGAACTCACGTAAAGGGTGTATAATTGCACATTTACATAGCAATTGCGATTGTGTGAACATGTTTGCAGTCAACCAAACAGCAACATCAACAACAGTTGCGGGCAGCGCTTGAGCAGCAAACATATTTATGGCTATAACTTCTTGGTCTATCATAATGAAACTTGGCATACGGACACATAATCACTAACTGTGGGTACTTGCAAAATTTGAGTTTGAAATTCCAGGAATTACGGGAGGGGAGATGGAGGGAAATTCCAAAATACACATTTTCTGCGTATTCACATAAGGAATCTTGGACTAAAATTTGGTGCCCTAGGCCTCATACTGTCCGAAACATAGGTGAATATACGAACAGAAAACCGGGTAAACCCCCATAGGGGGAAAATGGGGGGGAAATCAAAAAAATAAAACAAACTTGCACAGCGTCTTCACACAAGGCATCTTGGACTAAAATTTGGTGTTCCTAGGTCTTATAGTCTCCGAGATATAGGCGATTATACGAATGGAAAATCGGGAAAACCCCCATAGGGAGGAAGTGGGGGGGTTATCAAAAAAATAAAACAAACTCGTATAGAATACATACATAAGGCATCTTTGTGCAAAATTTTGTGTCTCTAGCTCTAGTAGTCTCTGAGATCCAGGTGTTCATACGGACAGACAGACATACATACAAGGTTCGTTCCAAAGTAAACAGGACTTTTTGAATCTAGCGCCCCCTGGTGGCGCTATCTATATTTCGACTGGTGCGTTAGAATCTGCTATCTTTATCGATTGTCCAGTGAGAATTACATGACATTTCATCGACTGGAAGTGAAGTTATTGCGTTTTAAGTGTCAGTATGTTTGTGTTATCGGTGCGAAAATGAGCTTCAAACAAAGAGCCAACCTTAAATTATGTTTTAAAATTGGTAATACTTTTACCGAAACGTTTCAATTGATGGAAAAAGTTTATGGAGATTATTGCCTATCCCGTAGCAGAGTGCACGAGTGGTTTCAACGTTTTCAAAGTGGTCGTGAGGACATAAATGAGGGATAACATGTGGGCCAATCAAAATTCGTAATCACCGAAAATTCCATCGAAACTGTGCGTGAATTCATCAAAAATCAGCCGAAATCATCATTGAAATTGATGGAAATGGAATTGAACATCTCCAAAACATCGATTTATCGCATTTTGACCGAACATTTGGATCGTATAAAAAGCTGTATTGAAGCAGAAGGAGACTATTTTGAATAAAATAAATTGATTTTGCCGAAAACCCATTTGTTCTGTTTTTTGTTTTTAAAAAGTCCTGTTTATTTTGGAATATACCTTGTAGATCGACTCGATGTGGGGTCTGCCACGCCTCCTTCTGCCAGTTACATTTTCAGCTCCCGCAAACCTAATATACTCTTGTACATTTTATGTAGAGTATAAAAATCCACCAAATTGCTGAAGGTTCGCGCGCTGGGCGAGGCAGGCTGGCTGGCTGGCTGGCTGGCAGGCAGGCAAATCGCAAAAGGTGAGCGAAGCAGGCAGACAGACGGACTGTCAGCGGCTCGCCAGTTGCATTGCCAATGGATTTATGCAGCCATTCGTGCCGCACTTCCATTTCATTTGGCCGCCGCTGCCGCCGCCATGGCTGCTGCGGTTATCAAAAATGCAATAGTTGGGCATCGCTGGGATACGGGCAGGAATTGGTGGCCACACCGACGGCGGTCATTAAAATATATGACACCCACAGAAGATGGTTTGTTGTTACTCGCTCGCTCCCTCCCTCTCTCTCTGTCTCATTCGCTCCGTCTCTCTTCTGATCTCTGCTTATTAGACACGGGCATCCCTTTCGAGGCGATCTTCGTGTGCGGTCCAATTAATTTTTCGGATAGAGCAATCAACAAGTTTTCTGAAGTGGTTGTTGTCTTTGTTGTTTCTCGGCCTGTTGCTGCTGCCGCTATTCTTGTTGTAGTTGTTGTTGTTGTTGTCTTTATTGATGTTGTTCAACATGTTGCGAGTCAATTTGTTAGTCGTTTGGTAGAATTTCGACTAGAGCTGTGCGTGATTGTGAGAATGGGAATAAATGTCCCCATTCACGATATTTCACGCCACAAATCGGGTTCGAAAAATTCTAAAATAATAGAGGAGTACATCATCGATGTGGATATTATTATTATTATTATTCATTTTAATTAATGTATTATTATTATTATTATTACTAATTAATGTACAGTTAATTTGACGCGGCGAATTCGATCATATATTAATGGAGACTACCAAATTTTTAGAGTTCTCTTTTAACTAAAATCATAAATGCATAAAGTACTTAGATATCGAGTGAGCTGGTTTATTTGCTCAACAATTACCAAAATCATATATTAAAAAAATAAGTCTTTATAGCTTTAGAATATAAAGAAATGTTACACCTTAATTTTAACGGATCGTTAAGTTAAATATTAATTAATCTCATATTCAATATTTTCAGTTGATTAGCTGAATCATGTATGAAGTACAAATTGCTTGGATTGAAAATGAAATTAAACGAAAATTCATTTTACAGTACTATACTTTTATGTATAGCAAATCAGAAACTAAGATAATTAAAAATTTTCCTTTGAGAATTTCTAAGCTTTGTTTAAGAATATTCTCCTATTGACTATAACTGTGCATTTTGAGATAAAAGGTAAATTTGGAATTGCTTCTAGAAGTTGGCTTAGTCAGCACAATTATTACCGCCGATAGTATGATTTTAAA